GATTGAGCGGAGGCTTTGGCACCAGACACTGCTTCCTAGCCATGTGCTCTTAGGCAAGTTGCTTAACCCTGCTGAGCCTCAGTTTCCTCAGAAGGAGTCTGTATAAGCAAGGGAAGGGATTGGTCATAGAAGTGGTACTGTGTTTCGTTTATCTAGTTACGGCAGACTCTCAAAAACAAATGGTTGTATACAATTAACGTTGTCTGCAGTTCCCCTGAATCCATTCACTTGTTCAGTAAATGTGTATTGAGCTTCTACAAGGTGTCAAGCACCATGATCGCTGTATCAGTGATTTAACCATTTTTGATGGTTACTACAGACCCCTTTAAGAATGTGATAGAAAACTATAGCTCCCTCTCCACAGAAAACTTTTCTAGCTTTTTATTTTGCTTTGCCGAACCATTTCAAATTGGGTGGGAGACGTGAGGCTCTAAATACTACAGCATCCACTGCCTTGAAATACAAGTATTCTCAGCCGGGCGCAGTGGCTCACACCTGTAATCCCAGCACTTTGGGAGGCCAAGGCAGGTGGATCACCTGAGGTCAGGAGTTTGAGACCAGCCTGGCCAACCTGATGAAACCCCATCTCTACTAAAAATACAAAAATTAGCCGGACATGATGGTGGGCGCCTATAATCCCAGCTACTAGGGAGGTTGAGGCAGGAGAATCGCTTGAACCTGGGAAGAAAAGGTTGTAGTGAGCCAGATTGCGCCATTGCACTCCAGCCTGGGCAACAAGAGAAAAACTCCATCTCAAAAATAAATAAATATGTAAATAAATAAATAAGTATAGGCATTCTCATACATAACCTCAATAAATGCCATTAAGAAAATAATTTTAGACAGGGTGCAGTCACGCATGCCTATAATCCCAGCACTTTGGGAGGTTGAGGTGGGAGGATGGCTTGAGCCTAGGAGTTCGAGACCAGCCTGGGCAATGTAGTGGGAACTTTTCTCTACAAAAACCTTTAAAAATTAGCCAAGTGTGGTAGCGTGCACCTGTTGTTGCAGCAGCTCGGGAGGCTAAGATAAGAGGATTGCTTGAGCCAGGGAGGCAGAGAGGTTGCAGTGAGCCAAGATAGTTCCGCTGCACTCTGGGGGACAGAGTAAAACCCTGTCTCAAAAATAAATAAATAAATAAATAAATAAATAAAAGAAAGGAAATAATTGTTTAATATGATCCAACAGCCAATCTATTTTCAAATTTCCCACAATAGTTCCAAGACTATTTTTATAACCTTTTTTTTTTTTTTTTTTTGCAGGATCCAATCAAGGTTCATGTATTACATTTTACTATTTCTCTTTAGTCTGTAAAAATCAAGAGCAGTTCCTTTGAAGTTTTTTTATGACATTGACTTTTTAAAAGACTAGACCAGTTGCCATGTGAACTGTCCAGCATTCTGGATTTATCTGATTCTTTCCTCATGGTGTGGTTTAACTCCTCCATCGGTACTTTTTCAGTTGTAACATACTTCAGAGTACTCCTTTCCTTTATATTTTTTATAAACTGGAAGTTAGAGCTAAAGACTTGACTAGATTCATTCAAGGCAAACATTTTTGGCACAAAAACTTCATAGGTAATGTTGTGTGATTCATATAGTGCCATGCCGGGAAGCACATGCCACTTTGCCCCATCTGCTGATGACGCTGGATTTGGTCACTTAGTTAAGGTAACCACTGGATCTCTTCCTTATGAAGGTATGTCAGAAAGTAATCCATTCGTTGGTGCTTTGGCACTATGGGGACTATCTCATCCCCCAGAACCTTTCACCTAATAGTTTTAGCATCTATTGATGATCCTTGTGCTATTATAATGGCAGTCGCAAAATGATTTTCTAATTCTGTTATCCCTGTTCTACTTATTCGCTGATTAGTCTTACAGAAGATTATTCTTCTGTAATTCCCAGACAATTTTAAGTATCTAGTACATGTACAATAATTTTTAGACAGTTTCAGTTTAGAGACCATCGAAGCCCAGCATGGAGCCTGGGTGATGAGGTGTCTTATTTTGCACGGAAGAAGAGCTGTAGCTGAGCTCTTGATAGTCCTTTGATTCTTCTTGTTTTGCAAGTAAATTGCAAAATAAGTTCCCAACCCAAAGATAACACAGGCTATCCTTCGACAAAAAAACCACCTCAGCTTTTAAACTTCTAGGCCATTCGGCAAAGAGGCATGCATGATAAAGGGCTTGAAAGCCCACAGACACATCCAGTACCATTCCTTTTTCCTCTTTCCAAACACTTGCAGTATGTTACAACTGAAAAAGTGCTGACCTAGGCTGATTTCCTCAACAGTAAAGCCAAGGATTTGGACCAGGCAATTCCTAGCATTTTTTTTTTTTTTTTCTTTTTTGAGATGGAATCTCACTCTGTCACCCAGGCTGGAGCGCAGTGGCACAATCTAGGCTCACTGCAACCTCTGCCTCCTGGGTTGAGGTGATTGATTCTCCTGCCTCAGCCTCCTGAGTAGCTGGGACTACAGGTGCATGCTACTACGCCTGGATAATTTTTGTATTTTTAGTAGAGGTGGGATTCCACCATGTTAGCTAGGATGGTCTCGATCTCCTGATGTTGTAATTCACCCGCCTCACCCTCCCAAAGTGTTGGGATTACAGGCGTGAGCCACCGTGCCTGGCCAATTCCTAGTATTTCTACCAGCATTACTAACATCTAGGAACTTGATATTACTTTCACTTGACAGTTAAATTTCCTTGATGCATTCATTTGAGCTTTGAAGGTGCTTGATTTTCCCCTCATTATGTCTCTTAAAGTCACACATACCTAGATCCATTAGTGCTTCCAGTTGCAATTATTATCAGCACTATAATAGTTTCTTATGTTTATGTAGTCCTTTTAAGTTATAAAACGCTTTTTATGTGTTATTGTACTAGACCCTCAATGAGTAAACATTATATCCCTGTTTTGTTTACTCTTGGGTCTTATAGACTGGGGGTTTTATTTCTGTCCCATTAATGTCACTACTGACCAAGGCCACTGAACTCTGTTGCGATGGACTTTCACCATACATAATCATTAATAGTATTGATTTGCCTGTAATTCAGGTTGCTTCATTCCAGCCTCGCAGTCACCTCTGTGCCCTGCTGGTTGTCTTCCCAGCACTGCCCTAGTTGCCTTCCATGGATCTATAGGAGAGCAAGTCCTCCAGGTACTGCCCTGTGACGATGTTGTTGAACTCTGTAGCACATGTGTCACTGTGGCTGGTTCTGCTCACTTCCTCTCTTGCTGCCACTTTTGAATTTAACTCTTTGTGGTTTGGACACTCACTAGATTTGGAAACCAGGGGTTCTGGGTTCTCTCCTAGATTTCCGTCTGTGTACCAGGCTTGTACTTAGTACTTTTACCATAATTCTTTCACATGACCTGCTTAGAAACCCTTGAAGGTAAGTATCACTCTTCCCATTTTACAGATGGATACACTGAGGCTCAGTACTTAAGTGACTTCTGTAGTGTCACACAGAGTCAGGGGCAGGAGGCTGCTCTTGGGTTAGATGTACTGAGGCTCATAACCTCAGACTGGAACTGGGCCAGGACTACAAAGGTAAACAGAAGCAGAGTCCTTTCTGTGTGTCCCCGCTCCCGGTACAAGCCAAGGCCTCACAGCACATAGCAGCCACAGCCACCTGAGGATTCCTCCCAGCTAGACGAGGCAGTTACAGCCAAGAACAAGTCCATTGAGGCTAAGCTGTGCCCCTCTGGAGGGCTGAGTCTAAGGTCCAGCCTTCTAGGGGAAGCAAATTAAGCCCAAGCTATAGAATAGCCCAGGGAAACACTTATAAAGGGAAATGCTGACAGTCAGACTCCTGAAGCTTCCTGATGCTTCTCGAGTTTTGGTAAAGAACCTTAGTTTTTTTTTTTTTTTTTTTAATGTTTTCTGGTTTTTTGTTTGTTTTGAGACAGTCTCTTATTCTGTTGCTCAATCTGGAGTGTAGTGGCACAATCATGTCTCACTGTAGCCTCCACCTCCCAGATTCAAGTAATCCTCCTGCCACAGCCTCCTCAGTAGCTGAAACTACAGATGTATGCTACTACACTGAGGTATATTTAAAAATTTTTAAATTTTTTTAGTAGAGACAGGATCTCACTATGTTGCTGAGGCTGGTTTCAGACTCCTGGGTTCAAGTGATCGTCCTGCCTCAGCCACCCAAAGTGTTAGGTTTACAGGGTGAGCCATGTCACGCTGCCCTCTCTTAGTTCTTGAAACCTGAAACCTTGAGGAGCAAACAAAAGGGGTCTCTTGGCCTCAGCACTTTGGGAGGCCGAGGTGGGTGGATCACGAGATCAGGTGATCGAGACCATCCTGGCTAACACGGTGAAACCCCGTCTCTACTAAAAACACAAAAAATTAGCCGGGCGTGGTGGCAGGTGCCTGTAGTTCCAGCTACTTGGGAGGCTGAGGCAGGAGAATGGCGTGAACCTGGGAGGCGGAGGTTGCAGTGAGCCAAGATCCTGCCACTGCACTCCAGCCTGAGTGAGAGAGCAAGACTCCATCTCAAAAAAAAAAAAAAAAAGGGGGTCTCTTGACTGTATCAGGACCCCCATGACCAGTTGTGTGTCTTGTGCTTTGCACAGCTGAGTGAAGGAGCACTGTATCCACAGTAGACGTTGTAGATTTATATGTGTGTCATTATGAGTTTCCCAGTAGGTAGTGAGTGATTTTTCTGCTACAGTGGTGCATTACAGCGATTTTCCAACAGATAGAAGGAAGGGTGTTGAGGCTCTCCCAACAGGAAGGTATAGGCTATTGGCAGTCCTGCTCTTCACTCTACCAAGCTAATCTTTCTGGGTTTCCATATCCTTATCTGTACAATGAGGGAGTTGGACTAGATCTGTAAGGTCCCCTTCCCTTTGACATTGTGTGAGCCTTGTAGGAGCTTGTGGTGTCTGTAGATTGACTGAGTGCTGGAGCTGGCAGCCCTGTGCAAGGCTGCCACCTCTGCCCCTTTACTGTGTTCGCGCCTGACTTTATGTCTCGTCTCCAAGGAGAAGAAGTCCTCACCAGTGAACGGAGACCTCTCTGAACTGAGGATACCATGGCCACATCAGCCCCACTACGGAGCCTGGAAGAGGAGGTGACCTGCTCCATCTGTCTCGATTACCTGCGGGACCCTGTGACCATTGACTGTGGCCACGTCTTCTGCCGCAGCTGCACCACAGACGTCCGCCCCATCTCAGGGAGCCGCCCTGTCTGCCCACTCTGCAAGAAGCCTTTTAAGAAGGAGAACATCCGACCCGTGTGGCAGCTGGCCAGCCTGGTGGAGAACATTGAGCGGCTGAAGGTGGACAAGGGCAGGCAGCCGGGAGAGGTGACCCGGGAGCAGCAGGACGCGAAGTTGTGTGAGCGACACCGAGAGAAGCTGCACTACTACTGCGAGGACGACGGGAAGCTGCTGTGCGTGATGTGCCGGGAGTCCCGGGAGCACAGGCCCCACACGGCCGTCCTCATGGAGAAGGCCGCCCAGCCCCACAGGGTAAGCCCTCCTCACCCCCGAGGGTGGCTTGCCACCTTCTCTGGACGCTCCACCCTGCAGTCCTCAGAGGACTCAGCCTGATTCTCCCCTCCTGCCCCAGCCCAGAGCATCCACCTGTTCCCACTGCTTGTTTTTCCATAGGAAAAAATCCTGAACCACCTGAGTACCCTAAGGAGAGACAGAGACAAAATTCAGGGCTTCCAGGCAAAGGGAGAAGCTGATATCCTGGCGGCGCTGGTAAGTGATGCTGTTTCAGGAAGCCCTGAGGCGGTGCACCCGTGTAGGGCAGGGTGAGCCTGGGCAAGCAGGCGGCAGCTGGGAGGTGTCTCTAGCACTGTTTGTAGGGAGGACGGGCGTCAGCCTGGCAGTGGCAGACCTGGGTTTTAGCCCAGGTGCTGTCTTTCTGAGCTATGTGGTCTTGGGCCTGTTTCTTTCTTGTCTGAGAGACAGGTGGGTCGTCTGCATGTCAGCTAGAGTCCCTTCTGTTTTCTGTGGCTCTCACCTTGATGGCAGGACCCATGTCCGGCTGCTGGTTCTCTTCTGCCAGGGGACTGAAGGTGTGACTTCATTCTTCCTTTCAAAGAGAGAGAGAGAGACAAGGTTGCCTGAGAGTGGAGAGGGTCTAGAAGGAGGGAGCTGGCTCCAGGGTAAGAACTGGGAGGGAAGGGCTAGAGAACAGCTAAGGCAGGCCTGCCAGTTCTGATGGCGCTGTATGTAGTGAGGCCCAGGCCCAGGATAATGGTTGCCAGTATAGTGGGACCCCCTCCATATCTGTGGGCTCCACACCGGTGGATTTACCCAACCATGGATCAGAAATACTCAGAAAAAAGGAAAAGCATCTCTACTGAACATATACAGATTTTTTTTCTTGTCATTATTCTCTAAACAATGCAGTGTAGCAGCTATTTATATAGCATTTACATTATATTAGGCATTGTAAGTAATCTAGAGATAATTTAAAGTATATAGTAGATTATATGTAAATATTATTCCATTTTACGTAAGAAACTTGAGCATCCTTGGATTTTGGTATCCTTGGGGAGGGGATCCTGGAATCCATAACCCACTGATACCGAGGGACAACTGTAGTTGGGAAACAGGCAGCACGTTATGTGCTTGATTAGAGATGGGGTTGGCGGGGAACTGATCAAATGGTTCTAATTTTCTGGGGAACTGTGTATGTTGAGGAAGTGGGCAGTGGAGGAGTAGTGGGGTCAGGGCCAGTGGTGCGTCATTAGGCCTGGGGAGAGGGAGACAGTAAGCTAGAGATGGCTAAGTCCAAGGGACCCCTCCAGGCCCTCAGTGTGCATGGCTGCCTCCAGCCCAGCACCAGTCAACAGGGCCACTGAGGACTCCCCTCACCCCAACTGGGGAGGAGATTTGGAGGCAGGAGAGGACATGGTCCCTAAGCGCAGATGTCACACAGTTTTGCTGAGGAAACAGGATACAGTCTTATGTGGCGGGGTGGGGGACACATAGGTATTTTAGACTGAACAGTGGGGTGCTGAAGAGAGGACTGGTCAGGCTTAGATGACATTAATCAAGCAAAACTTACTGGAAGAGGTGACAGAGATTTTGTCCAGGAGGGAAAAGTGTGCCAGCTCATGAGTGAGCCCCACAGAGTTTCTCCAGGGGCCCCAGATTGTACTGGCTTAGCTAGAACAGACTGTGGCTGACCAGTCAGGTAGAGACAGGGTTTTGATCATATAGCGGTGGGGTGAACTGAACTAATTCATTACTGGTGTCTTCTTTGAGAAGAGGAGTGTGGACCAGGAGCCCTCTATAGCTCCTCCCACTCCAGATCCTGTAGAATTCCTGAACGGGGGTACCGAGGTGAACGAACCAGCCTTGCACACCTCCAGTGCTGGGCCCTCCACCCTGAGCGGAGGTGTCAGCCCTTCTCCCCTTCCTGCCCGTTGCAGAAGAAGCTCCAGGACCAGAGGCAGTACATTGTGGCTGAGTTTGAGCAGGGTCATCAGTTCCTGAGGGAGCGGGAGGAACACCTGCTGGAACAGCTGGCGAAGCTGGAGCAGGAGCTCACAGAGGGCAGGGAGAAGTTCAAGAGCCGGGGCGTCGGGGAGCTCGCCCGGCTGGCCCTGGTCATCTCCGAACTGGAGGGCAAGGCACAGCAGCCAGCTGCAGAGCTCATGCAGGTGAGAGGCCATCCCTGGACAGGGAGCCAGGGACCAGGACGGTGAGTCCCAGCCCTGCCATTCACTTGCAGGACCTTAGGAGACTTGGGGGCTCGGTTTTGTCATCTGAAACATGGGGATGATAATCCTTCCCCCTGCCAATTATTCTGTAGATTGCATGAGCATAAAATGAAATAACTGGCATGGTGTCACTTCAAAAAATAAACTTTCTATACAAAACTGTTCAAAAAACTAAATGATATAGTATAAAATGGAAGGGAAGGTTATTAATATCATTAATTATTATCATTTACCATCCTCCGTCCTCACCACTGCCATCACGAGCCCTTCTAACAAGTCACTGGCAGACACTTAGCTGGTGGAAACTTTTTATGGTGTTGTGGTTGGGGTGGCTGAGGGAGGGCTGACCAGCAGCTCCTCTCAAAGGCCCGGAGGATCTGGAAGAGATAGGGAAACTGGGGAAGGGAAACAGAGATGGCCAGGTTTTCTCTGGGCCCATGGGATTACCACACAGAGAACAAGATGGAAAGCAGACAAGGGGGCCTCGGGGCGCCTCCTAGAGGAGGGGGCTTTGATAGTGAGAAAGGGAGGCTTTGGGGCTGAAGAACTGGCTGTGAAGCTGAAATGGCACCACATCTCCTCCCCCGGGAGCCTCTGGGGATCACACTACCCTGAAGAGGGTCCAGCAGCCTTTGGAGGGGTAGAGGGCTCAACCTTCCTGTCCTCACAGGCTGGGAGGAGAGGGGCTCTCTGATGGTATTCCCCCACTTGCACTGTTTAGGGTGGCTGGGTCTGTCAGCAGCAGAGCCACCCAGGATTTCTAGGAAGGTGGTCCCAGGCCGATGGCAGGGCAAACCAATAGCCAGGAGGAAGAGGCAGCAAGGCAGACTCCCCAGTGTGTGCACCAGGACAGACTGCAGAAGGAAGTGGCCACCTGCTCCTCATTGTTGTGAATTCAGATGCACAGAATGAGGCCTGGCAGGGAGGTTAGACCTTCCAGTCCAGCCCCTACTGATGAAGTCACTGAGGTCCAGAGAGTGGAAGTTGTTTGTCCCAGGCCATGTGGCAGGTGGCAGGTCACAGCTCGAGCCCAGATGTCCTGACTCCTGGGCTCTGAGCTCTTGTTCTTATTTTGTCCAGAATGTCTCTCTGGCCCCCCCTTTTCCTCCAGATGTCATTCTGTCCCCTCAGATTTCTCTCGTCATACTCTGACCGGGTCATTTTCTGCGTCTCCTTTTGCCCCTGTTTTTCCTCTCCCCACACCCCTGCTATGTGTGGATGCCTATTGCGTGTGGAACAGAGGCACACAGCTGAGGATGTGGTGGGGCTGAAATCCATTGCGTCTGCCCAGAGGGGTGCCTTTTCCTAATGCACCCAGAGAAGTGGCCCTCTGAGCAGAGGCCTGGCCCTCAGTGACTCAGAGCACTCCGATTGCAGCTCTCGCTGGGGTGGGGTAAGGTTAAGGGAAGGAGAGAAAATGGTATCTGCTTGAAACTAGTATAGGAAATGTTATTGGTACTGGTTTCTTTTTTGTTTTGTGTTTTCTCTTTTATTTTTAGTACTATGTAATGTATATATTTATGGGATATAGAGGTTTTTGTTAGTTTGTTTTTGAGACAGAGTCTCGCTCTGTCTCCCAGGCTGGAGTGCAGTGGTGTAATCTTAGCTCACTGCAACCTCCGCCTCCTGGGTTGAAGCAATTCTCCTGCCTCTGCAACCTGTGCCTCCTGGGTTCAAGCGATTCTCCTGCCTCAGCCTCCCAAGTAACTTGGATTACAGGTGCGCGTCACCACACCTGGCTAATTTTTGTATTTTTGGTAGAGTCAGGGTTTCATCATGTTGGCCAGGCTGGTCTTGAACTCCTGACCTCAGCCTCCCAAAGTGCTGGGATTACAGGCATGAGCCACCGTGCCTGGCCTAGAGTGTTATTTTGATACATGTATGTAATATATAATAATCAACTCAGAGTAATTAGTATATCTATCACCTCAAACACTTATCATTTCTTTGTGTTGGAACATTCAAAATCCTCTCTTCTAGCTTTTTGAAAATGTGTGGTAAATTATAGTTAATGGTATTCTCCCTACAATGCTGCACAACACTAGAATTTTTTCTTCCCATGTAGCTGTAACTTTGTGTCCTTTAACCAGTTTCTACCTACCCTTCTCTCCCCAGCCCCCTTCCCAGCCTCTAATCCTTATTTTTCTACTCTCTACTTCCATGAACTCAAATTTATTATGGATGAATAGTACTCCATTGTATATATATACTACATTTTCTTTATTTGTATGCTGATGGATGCTTAGATTGAGTCCACATCTCAGCTATTGTGAGCAGTGCCACGATAAACATGAGTGTGCAGGTATCCCTTTGATATACTGATTTTCTTTTCTTTGGATAAATACCTGGTAATGAGATTGCTGGATCATATGGTAGTTCTATTTTTAGTTTTTTGAGAAACTCTCATACTGTTTTCCATAACGGCTGTACTTATATGTGGAAAAACCTAAAGGCCCCACCAAGAAACTCTTAGAACTAATAAACACATTCAGTAACGTTGCAGGATACAAAATCAACATAAAAAGTCCACTGCATTTTTAATACACCAATAACAAACTAGCTAAAAAAGACATCAATAAAGCAACCCCATTTACAATAGCTACAAAAGTAAAATAAAATACCTGGGAGTGAAGTTAACCAAGGAGGTGAGAGACCGCTATAATGAAAACTGCAAAACACTGATGAAAGAAATTGAAGAGGATACAAACAAATGGAAAAATATTCCATGCTTGTGGATTAGAATTAATACTGTTAAAATGACTGTCCTATCCAAAGCAATCTACAGATTTAATACAATCCCTTTTATCAAAATACCAATGACATTCTTCACAAAAATAGAAAAAAAACTAAAATTCATATGGAGTCACAAAAGACCCCAAATGGCCAAAGCAGTCCTAAGCAAAAAGAACAAAACTGGAGGCTTCACACTATCTTACTTCAAAATATACTACAGCCAGTGGTGGCTCACACCTGTAATCCCAGCACTTTGTGAGGCCGAGGCAGGCGGATCACGAGGTCAGGAGTTTGAGACCAGCCTGACCAACATGATGAAACCCCCATCCCTACAAAAAATACAAAAATTAGCCAGGCGTGGTGGTGCGCACCTGTAATCAAGCTACTCGGGAGGCTGAGGCAGGAGAATTGCTTGAATCTGGGAGGCAGAGGTTGCAGTGAGCCGAGATTGTGCCACTGCACTCCAGCCTGGGCAATAGAGATTCCATTTAAAAATATATATATATACATATATATGTGTGTGTGTGTGTGTGTGTGTGTAGTGTGTACCACACTACAAAGCTATAGTAACCAAAACAGCATGTATTGATATAAAAGCAGACACATAGACCAATGGAACAGAATAGAGAACTCAGAAATAAATTCACATATTTATAGCCAACTGATTTTCAACAAAAGCACCAAGAACATACAGTGGGGGAAGGGACAGTCTCTTTAATAAATGGTGCTGGGAAAACTGGGTAACCAACCATATGCAGAAAAATGGTATTGGTAGATTTTGTCTGTGTGCTTGAGTTGATTGTAACGCATGGGAACTGGACAGCTAACTCCCTAATTAGCATTAATATTTTCCCAGAGATTATTTGGCTGTCAAAGTGTAGTAAGAAAAAGACCTAAAATAGGGTCCAGAAGTCTGATAGAGAAATACAGGTGAGGCTGGTGTGGTGGCTCACACCTATAATTCCAGCACTTTGGGAGGCTGAGGCAGACAGATTGCTTGAACCCAGGAGTTTGAGACCAGCCTGGGCAACACAGTGAGATCCTGTCTCAAAAAAATTTAAAAAAAAAAAAATAGAAATACAGGTGAGAGGGAGAAGCAGCGGGACAAAATGTGTAAAATAGAAGAGATCTTTTGATAGAAGTGATAGAAAAGGAAAGACAAACCTATGGGCTGGGAGCATCAAGAAGACATTAAAGGGATTGGGGTGATAGGAGAGGCCCAGAGAGACACTGCATCCTGCCCTGGTTAACCCGGGCGGGCCCTGCGGGATCAGGTGGCATGCTTGCACCCTGCTTCTCCTGCTGTACACCCTCGTGAAGAACTTTCTTGATACTCTCTGTTAGTAACCGGGCACATCCCCTCCGGGAGCTTGCCATGACTCATTGCTGTGGCCCCACTGCTCGGCTCTGCCTGTTTCATGACAGCCTCAGATGTCTTGGGTGAGAAGAGTCCTCCAGGAGACGTGGGCTGATCACTTCCCTCCAGAGGCCCCATATGTGGCTGTGGATGGGGGCCTCTCAGTCTTTCAGCCTCTCCTCGACAGGGCCAGCCCTGCCCTGGCTCTTGGGACCCCACCCTCTCTGGACTGCTCACAACCTTTAACCTTTAGAGGACTCTTCTTTCTCCTGTGTGATTCTCTCCCTTTCTACTGCTGTAGGAACTTTCATGTCAGGAAATATGCCCAGTTGGGCCCCTGGCCCTCACTCTACCTACTGCTCCATTCATCTGCTCTTTTATGCCACCTTTGTCAGCAGAGCTGTCAGGACACGCTGTCTGTTTTGTTGCCTGTCCTCTGAAGCTGCCTTGGACTTACATGTGTTGAGGGGCGTGTTAGAGGACTTGGCCAGAAATTTGCTACCAGTCTCTGGGCATTTAGTTGCTTCATAGTGCGGGGTCGGGATGTGCCTCTGACTTCGTGTCTTGCTCCTCTGGAGTAAAACACAACTCTTCCCAAACTTTCTGAAGCAGTCATCAGCAGCCACAATTTGTTAATTCCATTTGTTTCCTGAATCTCACCCTCTCCAGGAAGCCAGCCTGCACCCCACCGGCCCCTGCTCCCATCCCCCTTCACTCTGCTCTCTTTTCCCGTGGTGCGTATCACTCACATAGTGTGATGTATTTGCTACATTGATTATTGTCTGCTTCCCCCTGCTAGAATGTCAGCTCTACAGAAGTGGGGATTTGTCTCTCTCTCTCTCTCTTTTTTTTTTTTTTTTTTTTAACTGTTCTGAGGCTTCTAGATCAGTGCCTGGTACCTAGGAAGCACTTAATAAATATTTGTGGAATGAGTGAAAGGAAGGCAAAAATCAATACAGAGTATTATGGAGGCTTTTGACTCACAAAAGGGAATCTGAGTATCTCAGAATAACCCTCTTCCCACTCACCCTGTCCTACCACCTGTCTGTCACAGAGATAGCACCACCGTTCTCCCTCCTGTACAAACCATGCTCTGTTGTTGATTATCCTTTACCAGTATGTCCAGTTGAATCTGTCTAAAATACCTGGAATATATTGCTTCTCTCTTTTTCTCCCTACTGCCACCACTTTAGTTCAGGCCATCTTTAGCTCTCCCCTGGTCCACAGCAAAAACGTCCGGACCAACCTGCCCATGTTCCTGTTGCCTCCTTAGTCCCTTCTCTGTGGGACAGCCAAGTGAGTGGTCACTTAGGGTTTTGGCTCGCTGCTGTACAGTGACGCAAACAGAATAGAAGTTTATTTCTGTCTCAGTAACAGGTCAGAGGTGCAGGGTCTAGAGCTATCACGGTAGCTGTACATAAGCTCATCCAGGGGACTGAGTTACTTCCATGTGGTTCTTCTACCAGCTTCTAGGGATGTTGTCCTCTGCTGTGTGGTCAAAGTTCGGCTCACCACCACCATGTCCAAAATTCAGTTGGGGGAAAGAGGAAGTAGAAAGCAATTTTCTTTTTTTAAAGGACAATGCCTGGAATTATGGTCATTGCTTTCTATCACATTCCATTGGCTGGAACTTAGTCTCATGACCAGACCTTGTCATGGGGGATCTGGAAAATGTAGTCTTCCCAGGTGACCATCTGACCAGCAATAACTCCAGGGGTTCTATTATTAAAAGGAGGAAGGGGAGAGTGGACTCTGGAGGTTACACAGCAGTCTCAGCCACATGTAGAGCAGATCACACATATCGTGCCCCTACTTGATACCCTTGGTGGCTTTCCACTGTACGTGGAGAAAAATTCAAACTCCTTACCATGCATATCCAGCCCTGCGCGATCTGGCCTCTGCCGCTTTCACCAAGCCCTTTCCTGTTTTACCTTATCTCTCTTCATCTGGTCAGTACTTCTCATCCCTCAGTTCTCTGCGCAGGTATCTCCCAGAGAGGTTGCCCCTGTCATCCCCCAGCCATGGTGGCTTCTGTCATTGTGCTGATTTTGTTTGTTTTCTTGTTGTTTTATCCAGTGACCCCACTAGAATGTCATCTCCATAAAAAACGGACCACATTTGTTTTGTTCACTGATATGTCCCACCTCTGCTACAGTGTTGGGTGCAAATGCATTGAAGTCTTATTTGATTCATATTGATACTTGTGCTTTTTTTTTTCCCTTCTAGGACACGAGAGACTTCCTAAACAGGTAAGAGTCTCCTCTCCACGGCGCACCTCATCCCCCTTGTTTATGTTCCCTCCCCTTCTGACCAAGTCCATTTGAATCATGGGGAGTGGTGTGGTGCCAGAAGTACTCACATCCCATGGTTCATCCTGATGCCCTTCTGAGGAGGTGGACACATCCTTGAGAACTGGAGACTTGCTCTCCTCCTTGTGAGTTCTCTGTGTAACCCCAGCTCCTTGGCCCACTGGCCTTATTTGAGGTGGGACAGAGCAGAGAGTTTAGAAACATGGCTTAGGAGACAGAGCGCCCTGGATGTGGAGTCTACTGATGGTCTGAAGCCCTGGCTCAGCTGGGGTCTTTGGGCCACTGTTTTTCTGTCACTTGTCCGGGGACAATCATACCTTTCCTCTCCCCTTCATAATTGCCATGAGGATTGAAAGATAAGTATGAAGGAAAGTAAGAAGAGCTGAGTAACAGGTTGTTACGTCTGTCATCTTCTCAGGTATCCACGGAAGAAGTTCTGGGTTGGGAAACCCATCGCTCGAGTGGTTAAAAAGAAGACCGGAGAATTCTCAGATAAACTCCTGTCTCTGCAGCGAGGCCTGAGGGAATTCCAGGGTAAGGGTTGGGGAGCGCACAAAGGGTGGGAGTCAGAGCAGGGCTGCCTCGTAGAAAGAGGGCAGCCGGCTCCTTTCCATCACCTTGTCGAGTCTCACTCTTCTGAGGGCCTCCTGCCTTAGAAATGGATCCCTATCAGGAAATTGATACCGCCCAAGCAAGAAATGGGCCCGTGCATTTGTGGGACTTGAGTCATTGCTGTCCTTTTTTCTCCCCAGGGAAGCTGCTGAGAGACTTGGAATATAAGACAGGTGAGTGTCGAGCGGGTGGTTCCCAGATGTACATCAAATATAGAAAACTCCGCCTGCAGAGATTCTGACTGCCCACTTTTTCCCCAGGTAGCCCCTTTTGCAACAGGAAGAATTTCCCAGCTGCACAGTAGAAGCCCCCCTCCCTCCTTGCACTTTCTAATCGGCCTACTCTTTAGTCTACTGAGGCCTCTGCTTGCTAGTCTGACCCTTCTCTACCCTGTGTTTGCTTTTCCTTTTCCTATTCTCACAGGTCCTATCACCAGTCCTTTTCCTGTGGTTGAGCTTTCTCTCATCTTCCTGTCTGCATGGCTCCTATATTCAGAGCAAACAGCAGGGGCAACCTAAGGCCAGAGGCCATATCCACCAGAGGCCCCACTACTGTGCTTCCTCTCAGCCCTGCAGTTAGGTTGTACACTGCATACCAACCACCAAAGAGCACCATCCACATAGACCAAGATGGGAGTGGTGCCCCTTGGATTGTGAGGACTGGTGGTCTCCTCCTGGCCCACTTTCACACTTGCTTTCCTGAGAACCACTGAGGAGGTCGAACTGTCTGGGAGCAAACGAGGCCCTGAGAGCTCCATCTAGTTCACAGGATAAAATCCCACAGCAGAACTGAGTTAGCAGTGGTTAAACCTTAGGTGGTTGTAGCTTCTTTATTAATGTCTGAGCTGTCTGTGAATACCATCAAATTCTACCCGTCAGGTGATTCTAATTATAGAGAATCCTATGAGGATGACGGTGAGGATTATCCCACTCTCAGTACATGTTCAGGGTTTCTTGAACCATCTTACAGAGCAGCCTGGTGGTTTTGAAACTGAAACTGAACAGTTTGCAGAGACCCTGAATGCCTGTATTACAATAGATGATGCTTTGCAAGAACTTGTGGAACTCAGAGGACACATCTGTCCCAAATTTCTTTTTTTTCTTTTTTCTTTTGAGATGGAATCTTGCTCTGTCACCCAGGCTAGAGTGCAGTGATGCGATCTCGACTCGCTGCAAGCTCTGCCTCCCAGGTTCACACCATTCTCCTGCCTCAGCCTCCCAAGTAGCTGGGACTACAGGCGCCTGCCACCATGCTTGGCTAATTTTTGTATTTTTAGTAGAGATTGGGTTTCACCGTGTTAGCCAGGATGGTCTCGATCTCCTGACCTTGTGATCCACCCGCCTCGGCCTCCCAAAGTGCTGGGATTACAAGCGTGAGCCACTGTGCCTGGCCCCAAATTTCTCTTACATGGGAGCTTGCCTGTGTAATTACCTGGCCCATCATCTGACAGCACACAGAGTAGCACCTTCCGCAAATTTCTACTTCAAAGATGTTGGACTGAATATGACATTAAAGATCAAGCTGCAAAAGGGGATGAAGTTACTCCAAAACAATTTCATGCATTTGTACCCTTTCTGGGAGAGCTTTATCGTAACCTGGAGATCAGAGGAACAAATGGACAGGTTACAAGGGCAGATATTCTTCAGGTTGGTCTTTGGGAGTTGCCGAATGGCTGAATGCCCTCTTTTCTAATCCCATGGATGACAGCTTAATTTGTGCAATAAAATTGCTGAAGTTGACAGGGTCAGTTTTGGAAGATGCTTGGAAGGAAAAAGGAGGGACTGATATGGAAGAAATTATTTATGAAATTGAAAATGTTGTTATAGATGCAAACTGTGGCAGAGACATGAAGCAGATGCTCTTGAAGCTTGTAGAGCTCCAGTGCAGTAACTGGGTTAGAGTCCATGCAACTTCATCATGCAGAAATGCAACACCCGAAAAAGATCCCAACTGCTATGTGAATGAACCAGCATTTTATACATCTCATAGTGTTCGTTTCACTGCAGCCAGTCCAGATTCCCAAGAGGCATATCAGGAGTTACTTGAAAAAGAGGACTTTTTTTCTAGATTATGAAGAAAGTGAAACAGATTTATCAGGGGCTGGTGATCCACACTTGGATGATATTGATGATGAGTTGGACCCAGAGATCCAGAGATAGAGGAAGCTTATGAAGTTTTGTTTGGAATCAGAGCGTAAGCGAAAACAGTAAAGTTAAATTTCAGTATATCATGTTTATAAAGCAGTTTAGTTATGGTGATTTAGCAGAATACAAAGCCAGAAAATGTGTCACACTTATACCAAATTAAGGATGTTACGTTACTAATATATGCAACTTTAATTTTGTTTAACACTGTCTGCCAAAATAAATTTTATTCCCTCTAACTTAAAAAAACAAAACAGTGATGTTGTTTGTTTTTTTTTCCCCTTGTCCCCACAGTGAGTGTCACCCTGGACCCACAGTCGGCCAGTGGGTACCTGCAGCTGTCAGAGGACTGGAAGTGCGTGACCTACACCAGCTTGTACAAGAGTGCCTACCTGCACCCCCAGCAGTTTGACTGTGAGCCTGGGGTGCTGGGCAGCAAGGGCTTCACCTGGGGCAAGGTCTACTGGGAAGTGGAAGTGGAGAGGGAGGGCTGGTCTGAGGATGAAGAAGATGGGGATGAGGAGGAAGAAGGAGAAGAGGAGGAAGAGGAAGAGGAGGCCGGCTATGGGGATGGATACGATGACTGGGAAACAGACGAAGATGAGGAATCGTTGGGCGATGAAGAGGAAGAAGAGGAGGAGGAAGAGGAGGAAGTTCTGGAAAGCTGCATGGTAGGGGTGGCCAGAGACTCTATGAAGAGGAAGGGAGACCTCTCCCTGCGGCCAGAGGATGGCGTGTGGGCACTGCGCCTCTCCTCTTCCGGCATCTGGGCCAACACCAGCCCCGAGGCCGAGCTTTTCCCAGCACTGCGGCCCCGGAGAGTGGGCATCGCCCTGGATTATGAAGGGGGCACTGTGACTTTCACCAACGCAGAGTCACAGGAACTCATCTACACCTTCACTGCCACCTTCACCCGGCGCCTGGTCCCCTTCCTGTGGCTCAAGTGGCCAGGAACGCGCCTCCTGCTGAGACCCTGAACCCTGACATCTGCCCCTGGCCCCACACCCTCAGATGCTTCACTTCTTTGGAATTCCAGGACTCTCAATGGGGGGAAGGGATGCCTGGCCTGAGCACCTGGAGCAGGGGACCCCATATCCACTGGCAGCCACCTCCCCGTCGCTCTGGCCCCCTGAGGTCTCACTCAGTGCTGTTGCTCCATCTACTGCCCTAATGGGGCTCTTCTCCCACCTCCTGCTGGTGTCCCGAGGGAACTTCTGACCCTGGAGCCCATGAGGGCTCCTTTCCTTTTTGACCACTACCTTGGCCCCGGCTCTGCACTCTCTGTGGAGTAAGGGCCTGACACAGCATTTTCTTGCCCACCGTGGCAAGACCTTGGAAAAAACAGTTGATTATGCCTAAGATCATTTTGCTGTCCTTAAACCCTACAGGTTCCTTCTTGCACAAATCCACTCTGGTGCCCGCCTTCCCTGGCGTTTTAAACAGACCGACCCCACCCCATCTCAGAGTTAAGCATACACGGCAATGCTGAAAATAAACAATGAAAATCCACTGAGGCTTCCCAAGCCATTTAAGGCCTGGAGTACCAGCGCATATCATCTCATGGGGTCCAGAGTGGAGTCCAGGCTTCTCTGAAACCAGGGCTGAGCATATTTCCATAGCCAAGGATGTGGGACTTCGTGGAGCTATCTGTGGTCTTAGAGAAGGATCCAGACATACACGGCTTTGGGGTACCAGCTGTGATCACTGATCAATAAATTATCTCTGGATTGGTCCTTGTGGGGGGAGTTTTAAGAATCCAGAACATCTTGCTCTTGATTAGCACATCCAAAAACACCAAGACAAATATCCAGTGGAACAGAACCTCCCCTGCCTGGGGAGTTCCGACCACGGTCCCCAGCAGGGTGTTAATCCACTGTCCCTGGCCCTACTCAGCCTCCAGGTTCCACTTTGCTAGGAGAGAGTGGAGATGGGAAGACAGGGAAAGGAAGGCAGCAGGAGGCCACAAGTCCACCAGGTCTTCATGTCAAGAGAGGGAGTAACGTGTCTCCTCATTGCCCACGGACCCAGCCTCTGTCCAGGCGCCCCTCATGGCCACAGTTTAACACAAGCTCCCTTGCTCCAGCCAAATTGATCTCCCAGTCTTGACCTTACCCATTCCAAATGCTCTGCCAGTCCCTGTTCATCCAAGTTTTAAGTCCTCCACCCTGTTGTAAGAGACTGTTCCGGGTCTCAGTGGTCTCTTGACCACCATTGTCTCAGAGCTGCCCACTTTGTGTGTGCCACATGCTGCCTGAGTCACATGTACATCTTATTTCTGCCTCTAGTTTTGTAAGCTCCTGGAGGGCGGATAACATCTTATACTACTCTTGTATTCTGATGGCACCTAGTGCAGTGCTGGGCACAGAGTAGGTGCTCAATAAAGACCTGTTGAATGAACAGTCTGGAAATGTATATCTGTAGGATCTATATGGTATCTCAAATGCCACCAGACCTCAGTCTGGCTACAGAGAAATTCCATTGATAGCAGTAGCCGAAGGTTCTCCTTCTGTGCCTTCTGTAACTATGTAACTTTGCTTTCTGTTCTCTGTTTGCACACGTGCTGTCATTTCTGGAAGTCCCTCAAAAAGAGCCTACTGCGGGACACAGACCATTTGTTGTGTGTCTCCACCTTGTTATTCCTCCTGCAGTGGTGCCCTTGAGCTGAGGTCCAGCATTTTGGAGCAAGTGATGACTCTCCCTGAGAAGGGAGACATCCAGTATAGCACCCCCAAAATTCTTCCTTGGAAAATAAGCACTGCCCCAGAGGAAATAGAATGTGCAGCCTTGCCTCCTAACACAGTCAACTGTTTTTCTTGTCCTTTCTGATTTTTTTTTTTTTTTTTTGAGACAGAGTCTCGCTTACCCAGGCTGGAGTACAGTGGCGCGATCTCGGCTCACTGCAAGCTCCGCCTCCTGGGTTCATGGAATTCTGCCTCAGCCTCCCGAGTAGCTGAAACTACAGGCGCCTGCCATCATGCCCGGCTAATTTTTTTTGTATTTTTAGTAGAGACGGGGTTTCACGCTGTTAGCCAAGATGGTCTCGATCTCCTGACCTCGTGATCCCCCCACCTCAGCCTCCCAAAGTGCTGGAATTACAGGCGTGAGCCACCGCGCCCTACAGTCCTTTCTGATTTTTTAAATTGCCATCTTAAGATGGAAAAGGGAGGATTATACAAAACTACCTGTAAAATTACGCTAGTGGCAAAGAGCATATTTCTTCTCTGTTCTCTCATTTGTGGACTCGTAAGTTTTCCCTTTTTATTTTTTATATTCATAGTTTTTAGTTTTTTATAACTATACTTGCATATATGGTAAACTATTTCTACAGTGCTTCTTACAAATAGGCACATTTCCCTGCCCCATTCCTCCCTCCAAAGACCCAGTTCATACCTTTTAGCAAACTGTTTTGTGTTTGCCTTGATTTTTTCTAAATAACTCGTGTTTGGGGCCTTATCCTCTCATTTCCCACAGTGGAGCAGGAAGATGTAGCCCTCTGCTCTCTCTATCATTTATCACACACACAGACATTCTCTTCCATCCATCACCATCCCTTCAATGTGGTTAAACAAGTATTCGGTGTGCTTGTTATTACATATGTGTAAAAGCTATTCACACCTGGGCTGTGCATGTGGCCACGATCATTTTTCCTTCCTGCAGAATCTTTTGTCTTCCTGGAGTTCCTTTTCCCTTTTTACATCATTTCCTATGTCTTTATTACTTATTGTACTCCAAACTCCTTCACGGTTGTCAAAATCTCCAGGTCCTCATTCACCAGGTGCTCTTACCAGTTTTGTTTTGATGCATCTCTTAAGCCTCCTGGCCTTGAATCTGGAATAGCTGCTTCCTCACCTGTACCTGGCTTCCTGGATATTCCTTCACCATCATACTGGAGGTCTTAGATTGCTTCTGTTTCTTTATCCTATGTTTTCTCTCTTAATTTACTTCATTTTGGAGGAACATTTTCTAGGAGCTTTCTGAGAAATGGTGCATGGAAGTTGAATTTTTAAAATCTTGAATATCTGGAAATATCTTTATCCCACTTTTATACTTAATTAGGTTCCTTAAGTTTAGGATTCATGGTTGAAAATAATTTTCCTTCAGAATTTCAAAAGCATTGCTCCACTGCCCTCTGGCATCCTTTGTTGTTGAGAATTCTTGTGACGCCATGAGTTCTGATCCTTTGTATATGGTCTGTTCTTTTGTTTTTGTTTTTTACCGGAATCTTCGGGTCTTGTCTGTGTTCTTACTCTTCTCCTCCTCCTCCCTTTCCTCCCTTCTCCTCTCTCTGTGGTCCCCCTCCTTTCGTCTTTTAGAGACAGGGTTTCACTCTGTCATCCAGGCTTGAGGGCAGTGGTGCAGTCATAGCTCACTGTGGCCTCAAAGTCCTGGGCTCCAGTATTCCTCCCACTTGAACCTCCCGAGTAGCTACAGGAGCGTGCCACCACACCCGGCTCATTTGTTTATTTTTTGTAGAGACGGGTCTTCCTATATTGTCCAGGCTGGTCTCAAGTGATGCTCAGCCTCCCAGTGCATTGGGATTGGATGCATGCGACTCCATGCCCTTACGCTTAGATTTCTTGATGTTACTTTGTATGAGCTTTTCCCTCCACTGTGCTGGTTAAATCAGTGGGCTCTTTCATTCTGGAAACGTATAGCTTTTCAGTTTCATTCTAGAAACGTTTAGCTTTTCAGAATAAAATTTCTGGGAAATTTTATTGAATTATCATTGTTATTTTTAGAGATGTAGTCTTGCTCTTTTGTCCAGGCTGGAGTGCAGTGTTGGGGTCAGAGCTCACTGCCGCCTAGAAACTCCTGGGCTCAAGTGATCCTCCTGCCTCAGCCTCCTGACTAGCTGGGATTACAGGTGTGAGCCACCACAACTGGCTGAATTTTTATTATTTTAGAGATACGGTCTTGCTCTGTCACCTAGGCTCTAGTTGTGGTGCACTCGTAGCTTACTGTGGCCTTGAACTCCCGGGCTCAAGTGATCCTCCCACCTCGGCCTTCCAAAGTGCTGGGATTACAGGTGTGAGCCACTGCACCCAGCCTGAATTATTTCTTGTTGACTTTTCCCCCTGTTTTCTCTGTTCTTTCAAATCTGTTATCTCCAGGCTTCGTATGTCTCCTGAATTCATTTATTAAGTGCCCATGATGTGCCAGGATGTTTCTAGGTTACAACAGTGCTAAGTTTAACAATGTTTCTGCACTCATGGAGTTTATATTCCGGCAGATGGTGACAGGCAATACGTTAAAATTGAAAGAAAAAAAAAAGTAATTAGTACTATGCAGGAAACTGAAAGAAGTCTGTGATAGATGGTGACCTATTTTCTATTTTATAATGTGTGATCAGAGAGGAGTTCCCTGAGAAGACGGCATGAGAGCTGAAATCTGAATAGTGAGAGGGAAGGTCTAAGATCACATCAGCTAGAGGGAACAGCAAAGTCCTACAGCAGGGACAAACGGTACAAAAAGACTGCATTTAGAGTATGGGTATGGGAGAACAGAAAGAGCCATAGGGTTTTTTTTGTTTGTTTGTTTGTTTGTTTTTTTTTTAAGTAGAGATGGAGTCTTGCTCTGTTGCCCAGGCTGGAGTGCAGTGGCGCAATCTTGGCTTACTGGTAACCTCCACCACCTGGGTTCAAGTGATTCTCTTGCCTCAGCCTCCCGAGTAGCTGGGACTACAGGCGCACGCCACCACATCTGGCTAATTTTTTTGTATTTTTAGAAGAGACGGGGTTTTGCTATGTTGACCAGGCTGTTCTCGAACTCCTGACCTCAGGTGATCCACCCGTCTTGGCCTCCCAAAGTGCTGGGATTACAGGCATGAGCCACCGCGTCTGGCCAGCCATAGATATTAAAGTGGAGAAGTAAGCAGGGATGAATCATGTGGGGGCCTTGTGGACCATGCTAAAGAGTTTGGATTTTTTTTTCTAAGTGCAATGGGAAGCTACTGAAGTGTTATAAACAGAGGAGTAATGATTCAATTTAGTAAGCAAATATTGAACACGTGCTAGGCACTGTTCTGGGTACTTGGCATGCATCAGTTTTTTAAAAGTTCCTTTCTTCAAGGAGTTTACATTCTAGAAGGGAGAGATAGACAAAAATAAGTACAGAAGTGTTAGAAATAACAATAACAATAAACACTTAATAAAATAAGTAATAAGTGTTAGAAAATAAGTGCAACAGACAAAAAATATAATTACTTAAAAAAAATCTATTTGGAGGAAGTAGTCAAGATGGCTGAATAGATGACACTAGTATGTGCCTCTTCCATGGAGAGGAACCAAAATAACAAGTAGATATTTGCACAGCATCAGTCATCTAAGAGAACACTAGGATTCAATAGAGAACTTACAGGAAACACTGAAAGCAAGGAGAGCAAGGCAAGGCAGTTTGCTCAGCCAGGATTGCCGAGGAGCTGGGAGAAGCTCCTGGATGTGGAGAAAGGGTAACAGAGAAACCTCCAGGATCCATACTCCCACCACAGGCTTTTACAGTCTTAGCAATGAGAGAATTTCTCAATCCTTGTGGGCTTCGAGCCTAACACAGGGAGCTGCCTAGAAATCAACAGAAACATTGCTCCAGAGAAGGAAGTCACGCAGAGTCCCACAGGCATCTGAGCCCACAGCAGCTTCAGTTTGGTGCCATTCTGAGAACCTCGCTGCCTGGGGTCTATGTCTTGCCCTGAGGCCAGACTGATGTGGCACTGCTGTTTCTGCTGCTACTGCTGCCACCAGGCAAAAAAGAGAGGGGAGACTGAGCACTCCCACACATCCCCTGGAAAAATCCCATCGTCACTGCTACAGGCTGCAGTGAGACCAGGGCATGAGAAGACAGCACTCCCTGTGGCTACTTGTCCATGCTGTTCCACCTGAGAGGGGTCCTGCCCTCCTGGTGGCAAACCCATAGTCATTATTCTGAGAGCTCAACCACCTGGGTCTGCATTCTGCCCTTGGGCCTGGCTGGGGCTGCTGTCGCCAAGCCAAGTCGAAGTTGAGGAGGGAGAGTAGAGACCGGGACTTCCACACATTCCTAGGACAAATCCCACCACTGCCGCTATGGGCTGCTGTGGACAAAGGTGTGAGCAGACTACACTCCCCACAGCTACTTGCTCATGATGCTCCCGCTGAGAGTGGCCTTCCCTGGTTGCAGGACTACAGTGCAACCACTACAGCCAGCCCACACGTGAGCATTCTGCCAGTGGTCTGGGGACCTCCCCATCTCTGCCTATCACAGCTAGCACCTGAATTCATTGCAGGGGGGCCTGAGGACAGGTCTGCTGACCTGATCCCATCCCTCCAGTACACGAGCACATCAGCCAGGGGCCTGGAAATTGCCCAGCCCAATCTACTACCACTGGCATCTGAATCATTCCTGCCAGGGTCTGAGGTCAGCCCA